CGAAACACTCATTAATTTTGAAGACATTTTGTTTAAACAAAATAAACTTTTAAACACTTAATTTAGTACAATATTTGGCGCACTTTTGCACAAAAATATGTGAAAACCAGTTTTATGTTATATTTTCAATCGTTTTCAATAGATTATAAGACGAAAGCATTGATCTCATAAAACAGTTGTTAAAATATTGTAAATTATACCACTATTTGTGGATATGTTTTCAAATATTAATACAATTGAATTTTAACACCAATTTTAATAATTATTTATAAATATCGTTACAATTAAAACAATTATTTAAAACTTTAAAACAAACTAATAGTGGAAACAGCAATACACTTGGTCCTACGCTAGAGTCCTTTACTTAATTTTATAAATATCATAACTTATGATACTTCAGTATACTTGTATTGTAGTTTGTACTAGATTCAAGTTATGACCTTCTTTCTAAATCCCTCTAATGGGGGCCTAAATATCAACACTGAATGCCCTGTTTAGCACACACTGTATGAGTTGGTTATCATTGGCTTCTTATAGCTTAAAGTTTATACTCTTTGGACAAACATTTTTTAAACCGATTATTTTTCCCGGAATTCAGTTATAATTAGATCTCATTTTGAGTTTAACTGAAAGAATTTGAGTTCAATAGAAATTTAAGAATTTTATTTTTAAAAATATAGTTTTCCATAAATATTACAACAACTCTATAATAATTTAATTATATCAATAATATTAGTGATTGAGATAATTGTTTAAACATTAATGTATTTTACAATCTATTCTTTGTCTTTGTGTGCATTATATCTGGTTATAGACTGTATTATTAGTTGTCATAAATTACGTAAACAATAAACGTTAACATTTGCTATTGATTTGTATTGAAAAGGGACTCAATTTATAGCAATAATAATGAGTTGTTATTTATTAACGAAGAAATGGGTTGGAATTGAAAACGTGTGAATCACGTGATGTTTAAACAACAAATTTGTTTGCAATTAATAATAAACTATTAATTGATTTAGACTTGAATTAGACGTTTGTGTGGACACAAGTAGTGATCAGTCTTCCGATGACTAATAAGTTGTCCGCCGATAACCCGTTGCCGACTACCGGCCAAACTGTCGTTGATTTGCCGCCAACTCATGTGTGCCGTATCGACGGCTGTGGTCTCGAGTTTACCATTGAATACACACTTATCGCACACCAGAGGGCTGTCCACAAGACAACGGCGCCAACCGTTCACTTCGGGTACGACACGAGTGGTGTCGGCGGCAGTGATAGCGCCGTTGGTTTAGCCGCCGGTAGTCCTAAACCCAAACGCAAAGGCAATCCGTTTTATAAGTGCAGCGAATGTTACGAAACGTTTGACACAAAAGCCGATCTGAAGAGCCATTGGCGGGACTTAACGGCTCACTTGACGGGCGGTCCGCCGGCCGGTGCTCTCCACTGGTCTGCGGCGCCATTCAAACCGTATGACTGTTTGAATGACGGCTGCGGCCAATTATACGTGACTCTACAGGCGCTGAAAATACACCGACGGTCTGTCCATTCGGCCCCTACTAAGCAGTACGGGTGCGACGGCTGTACCAAAACATATTATACCAAACATATGCTCGAAAAGCATTGGCTGACTGTCCACTCGGCGGTCACGGATGTGCTACAGGCGTCCAATGAGTCCGTTGTTATGGACACTACAGTAGCTGATGATAGACCGGTAGAGACCACGACTGTCCTACCGGTGCACTCAATCACTGTTACCATTAATCCAAACAACAGGTATATTATAGCCATTGATTTAAGCCATTAATTGATTGTGTGTTTACTCTATATATCCAGTGCTATAAACTCTGATCGCGAAGTAATAGATGTAATGACCAAACGGTACGACTGTCTGAACGCCGGCTGCGGCCAAACGTTCACAACTAAACGGGCGATAAGAATACACCAACTTTTTGACCACTCGGACGTTGGCGGACAGTATTGGTACGACTACTGCACCAAAACATATGATGGCAACAAACAGAGGCTGACTGTCCACTCGGCGGCCACTCATGTTAACTTCCCGTCCGTTTCTATGGATACTACAGTAGCCGCTGATTGACAGGTAGTGCCCACTACTGTCCCACCGGTGCACTCAATCACTGTTACCACTAATTAATTATTGTCAATACTTAGAACTTATATCGACTTAAAAGCATTAAAAAATAATAATATTGGTTTATAATTAATTGTATTTAAAAACAGTATTTATTTGTCCACATGTTTATAATTTGAATGTTGTTTTAATTCTTGTTTTGTATTGAATTTTTTGTTACAATTTTCTTCATTGCATTTGAATTTCCTTTCATTCAAATGAACACAACTTTTGTGTCGAAATAAATGTGATTTTTCGGTAAAACTTTTGTGGCATTCATTGAAATCACAAATAAATTTTATATTTAAATGAATGCTATTTTTGTGTCGATTTAATTGTGATTTCCATTTATAACTTTTATTACAATTATTAAAATCACATTTGAATTGTTTTATTTTTAAATGACTTAATTCATGTCGAGTCATATGATTATTACATATTGTTTTGTACAGACATTTGGGCCAGTGAATATAATTATTATTGTCGATATTAATTAAATGAACATTTCTTTTATGTTGATATAAAGACTGTTTTGTTGTAAAATATTTGTGGCATTCATTGAAATCACAATTAAATCATACAACTATGAAATATATTGCTGTTTTGATGTATTTGCCTATGATTTCAATGCATTTATGCCTATCAACCCTCAATAATGGTCAATGGTTTGAGCACTCATTTGAATTGACATTTGACTCATCAGACAATAGACAGACAGGAAATGAAATCACAAAATACTGAAACATTTTTGAGTTGAAGTT